TGAAAGGGTTAAGCACGTAGAGTAGTCATATTATTCTTTTATTCATTCACAGAAAAATGTAGTTCAATAGACATGAACATCTCTTTTTTTCAGACATGGACTTATTGTTACTTCTACTACTACAAATCAATCTCGGTTCACAAGTGAATCTAATCATTCAAAAAAACGAACTCATCAAATACAAGAAACAAATATAAATACAACTATTATTGATGTATTAGAAAAATCCTCAAGTGAATGTCCTTTAACTGAGTCATGTTGTAAAGAACGTATAAATGAATATTTTAATAAAGATATTCAAGCATTAAAAATTAGTTCGAAAACTAAACAAAATCTTAATAAATTACAAAAAATAACTGATGATGTTAAATTATTAACAAAACAACTTGAATTATCAATGAAATTAAATAAAAATAATAATGCATCTATGATAACATTAGGTAAAAGTATTTTTCATTCTTATTTTTTTTTTGATTAATTTAAATTTAAGATAAACGTTTACTTGGTGAGATTTGTTATCAACTTGAACGACGTATTTTAATTTTAATATTTTCAAAATCGAAACAATTCTATGGTTATTCACTTCGTTATTTATCATCAATTATTGAAAATCAACAAAATAAACATGATCATTTAATATATAAAAAACGTTTTAATCAAATTGAAAAATATCTTTTAAAAGAAAATTTTCATTTCGATCATCATTCAATATTAACATTTTATTTTATAAATAAATATGGAATTTATTCCGATTATCAATGGTTAAAAATTTATTCCGAAATTCTTTCAAATCTCAATCAAATTAAATCATTTTGTTATTCAATATTATCAAAAGAATATCATGAAGATATATCTATAATTCTAAATAGTCTTGATTTAATTTCAAAATTTGATGGTAAACCATTATTCTATTGGTAATCGATTTATTTGTTTGACATTATTGAATATGCATTTTCTATTAGGAATAATAATAAAAACAAATATCTTGAAATAAATGATAAGAAGAATAGAACATTTCTTTTGATTGTGTTTCCCGTTCGGGAGAAGAACATGAAATTTATTCATCATTTCTTCTTTTTTTTCTTTTTGTGTTGCTCGATGTCGGAAAAGATAGATAGAAAAAAAACGATAGATAAAGCCTAATACGACCAGATTGTTCCTGCTCAAGCAACCGAAAGCAAGTGTCTTTATCATTACTATCATCATCAATTATTTTTGTTATTTTGTATATCATAATATCACTATGCAATATGTATTGCAAAATGAAAATAATATATTTTCTTCTATTTCAATATGTCAATGCAATAAGAAATCCATTGCTTGTTCACATTGCAGGTAGGGGTAATGATTAGTATTTTTTGATTTTTATAAGACATAAATGAAGATTACATCTGTTGGCGTTTTATTGGATCGTCAGTTTTTTTTGTCTTTAGTCGTGGGACATAATTGATTTTTCGTTTGAAGGAAAAATATTTCTAATGTAATTAATTAGCATATTTAATATTTATTGAATGTTAATTTGCATGAAATATGAATTTTAAAGATCATTTTAAGATTATATATTTTATTATCGTGCTAATTCAATTGATAGAAGTTCGCTTTCGAATAAACCTAATCATCACGTGTATTTTAAGAAAAGAGAATTAATCGATCACGTGATAATTATTTTTTTTTTTGCATATTCATTTCTAAGGTTCAAAATTAGTAAAACATGATTTGAATTTAGAGCAACAAGGTCGTTCAAGTACAACCGAAGCATATATTTATCGACATCGTTTGGTTACACGATCGACAACACCATTATCAAATATAAATAATTATGATATATACGGTCAATCGACTGTCACATCATATCTCAATTATTATCAACCAAAACCAACATTTGCTACTGAACATGTATCGCCAAATCAAACAGATAATTTATGTCCTAGACAAAAAAATGTTCATAGACATTGTCAACGTTCCTGTCATGGAATAAATCAAAATACAAATTGTCGTTCTCAACGAATTTGTGTTTGTGATCATAATTGTGGATTTTCTTGTCTTTCAACATGTAAGCAAAAGAAATGCTCATAGAAAAACAAAAACATAAAATCTATTTTTAGCAATTGTAAATGAACGTTATCTTTGTCCAGTTTTAAATAATCCACCACATGGTCGTATACAATATGAGGGTCATTCATTCTATAATCGTCTTTCTTATGAATGTAATACAGGTTATACAGTAGTTGGACCAAAAGAACGTATTTGTGTTAGTGATGGATTTTGGGAACCAGTTGCTGATGTTTATTGTATACGTAATGGTAAATATTTATTTATTTGTATTGTAAATGTTAGTCTATTGTTTTTAGATGAAGTTTGTACAATTAATAATCCTATAATGAATGGTCATTATACACCACAACAACAAGTTTATTATGCTGATCAACAGATACGTGTTGAATGTAATCCTGGTTATGAACTCGATCGATTATCTCCTGTACAAACATGTCAAAAAAATGGAACATGGTCACCATTAGAAATACCAAGATGTTTAAGTAAATAAATAAATTTATCTATTCAAAAAACAAACTTATTATTTCATTTAAGGATCTCCATGTGGTGAACCACCATCAATAGCAAATGCATATCTTGTTAATACTACGTCTTCGTATGCTCAATATGCATGTATTGAAAGATATCTATTAAAAGATTCTATATCAACAATTGAATGTAAACAAGGTCGATGGCAAAATATTCGACCACAATGTATTGAAGCAATATGTCGACATCCAACAATGGATGGATTTAATGGACATGTTTTTAATTCTCGTACGATATTTGTTGCTGGCGAAGGTACAGGTCTTATGTGTAATAGTAGTACACGTTACGATCTTATTCCAATGATTGATTATGTTATATGTGATAATCATGGAATATGGAAACCAACATTACCAAAATGTTATGGTATAAATTTATTAAATATCTTTTTTTTTGTTTCTAATTATGTTTTTTTGTTTTAGCAAAATGTCGTTTACCAGAATTAGGAAGAAAATTAATTGGATATTATATGGATGATATTACTAATGAATGGTATGGAAAAGAATTACAACCAGGTGCGTATATTCGACATGGTTCTACAGTTAAATATCAATGTCAATGTCAATCGAAATTTCTACATAATTGTTCTTCAATAAAACCAGATTTTGTTCAATGTATTGATGGACAATGGACAAATGGTGGTCCTTATTGTCGAGAAGGTATTCTTATTTTTTCTATTGATTTCTTATTCTTTTTTTTTCTTCTTCTTCTTTAAAAGAAATGTCTGAAACGTGTCACGTTCCATTTGATATTCCTCATGTATTATTGAATAACAATACGAAATCAAATAACATATTAAATGAAGGAGAATCATTGAATTATGAATGTATTCATGGTTATAGAAATATGACAAACGTGACATGTATACAAGGATACCTAACAGCAAAACCTTTATGTGAACCAAGTAAAATTAAAATTTTAATTCTAAAAATAATTTTATTATTGTTTTTTTTTCCTTTTATTTAGAAAATTGTACAACTCATCCATATTGGATTAAGAATGGATATGTTAAATATCAAAATAGACGACACGGTGGTTATGCTGAATATTCAGTAGATAGTTTTTTTTCTTTACTAAATATAAAGATAATTTTTGTTTTTCTCTAGTGTCGTAATGGTTATAAATTAAGTAATCATCGAATATTAAAATGTTCATTTGGTCAATGGGAATCTCCATATGATCGAAATAATTCTATACAATGTGTTGCAGGTATAGAAGAAATATTGTCTAGCAGTATTATTTCTTTTCTTATATTTAGATACTTGTCTTCATCCAGGTTTTATTCATCATGGAAAGACTTACGTTGTTAATTATGGTACATCACGTTATGCACTATCAGCAAATATTACATTAAGACATGGAGCTTCATTACAATATGAATGTGATCCTGGTTTGTGAAATTTCTTTTTTTTTCCGTTTATCATCTATTTTTGTTTTTTTCTTATAGGTTATATGCTAATTGGTAATCGTGGTTCCACCTGTTTTTCAGGTATCTGGCGACCTGATCAAATACCAGTTTGTAATGAAGGTATATTATTCTATTTTTCATTTTGTCTTATATCTATGTCAATCATTTAGATCGACATGTGTCCTTGCAACATACATTACACAAATTTGTCAGTAAAGGATGACCATGTAAACAGTTCTCTTGTTCGTTATTCCTTTCTTCTTCTTCTGCTTTTTTTTGTATTCATAACATTGTCCTTCAAAACTTTTGTTGAACAGTTGACGCTTACATGTATGTCATCCTTTATATATATATATGTGTGTGTGCGTGTGTGTGTGTATGTATCTTTTATGTCTTCATAAATGAGAAACAATTTAAAATAGATTTTCGTATTATCATGATAAAGAATATTTTTACTTGTTGATTTAATATATGAACATGACTATGGGTGTACACACATAATAGAATATTATTGTGTAATATGAATGAACAACATTGATACAAGTAAAGTTGTAGTTTTAGTATACTTATGACTGTACTTAACAAGTAAAAGCTTCCGGACTCGATTGTGTTAGAAAAAAAAGAAGAATTCAGTATACATCATCATCATCATCATCGTCGTACATTTGAATACATGGTGCCAACAGCTATATTCTTTGTATATGTTTGTCTTGTGTTGAACAACTCATCTCCTAACCAGTTGTCGCATCCATTTAGAAGTCCCTAAACAGTGCTATATGTACATTGTTCAATGTTATCACGAATCATTTTTTTCCTTTTTTTTGTTCTGCTCATCTCTAAAGATTTGTTCACATAGCAATTTTCTTTTTTTTTATGTATATCATGGTAAGCCATTTGTTTCCTTATTCTCTTACCAAATAATACACGATGATGCAAGTTCAAAATATATCATTCATCAACTATATACAACATTTCTTCTTATCGGATTATATGTATAAAACAATGTTGAAGATTGTAATTTAATACGAGAGACAATCGTCGACTTTTCGACTCATCATATACTCATATTTGATCAGCTTTTTTTTTCTTCTTTTTTTTTGATATTTTAAAATTATGAGTATAGAAAAGAAGAAACAATTTAAATACTTTTTTCATAATCATGAACACGTTTTCGTATTGTACTAAAAAGAGACAAGTTTATTTCATATGTACCTATATCTTTCGAATATATAAACTGGAATTATTCTCTTTACTTAACAGATTGATACTGGTGAACCAAACATACTGATTTCTCTTTTTCTTTTCTTTTACTCCCTTCCTTGCTCTCTCTCTCTCTCTTACTCTATTTCGCTTTCTCATTCTTGTGTATATACATATATGTGAATATACCACCGATCAATCACGATGTATGCATGACAGGTGATGTTATAACACTAAGTAAGCTTATATATCCTCATTAAAAATAAGATTAAATTATTTGAACAAATTGAAAACAAAACGCTTCTTATTTCATATTTTTTTGTGTTTTACATAATTTTCTTTCGTAATCATTTTTTTTATTTCTCGAGCTTGATTAATCACTATTTGTTGCTCTAAGCAGATACCATATTCATTTATTATATATAGAATTCATCATCTATCTTCAAAAGAGTGTTCCTCATAACACAATAATATTAATATGCCTCAATCGGCAAGGACATAACATATGTATACAAACCTTTCTGACCATAAGAAAATATGACCATCGGTTTTTCTTCTTTTATATATATATATGTTGAACTTAGTTTCTTTTATTCTTTCCATGTTGTTTGATATTATGTCATAAATTTTTGCCAAACATGCAAGATATATTTGATATCATGTAAGTTTTGTTGTCAAATAACATACATACACGAAAGTAGAGATTAAAAAGTATGAACATGGATTACATATATATATTTTAATAATATATGAAGAGAAGAAACGTTTATAAAGCAAAAAAAAAGAACGATTAATATTTTAGATGATTTAACAAAAATCATAATGAAAATAAGAACGACTCACACATATTCTGATAATCAATTATTCTACTTGGTAGTTTTACTGTTACTATGGGAATTACCAAATTACTGTCAAGGTATTGTAGAATTTCATTTCTTTCCTTTTTTTTTATATATATCTTTTCAAAGAGTTCAGGTTAGAATAATAAAACTAATAAGTGTTAACTATATTTGACATCTATGTATAAATTGAAGTGATTTAGTGGTAATCAGCATTTGTTTTCATTGTGAGAATATATATATAAAGCAAGGTCAACAAGGAATTGAGAGCAATGACACTAAGTCGATATAAAAATTGAACTAATGTTATTTTAAAGGAAGTGATAAAATGAAGTTTATTGAAACCTTTTTCTTTCATTCATTTTTTTATTATTTAAGGTTATTGGATTCGTGATCTTTCATACTGTCCACGTAAACGTGATGTAATTCGACAAAGACAATGTTTTAAACCTTGTTTCGATGATAGTGATTGTCGAAGTCGATATCGTTCATGTGTATGTGATTATGATTGTGGAATGTCATGTGTTAAACGAGGTAATACTATTTATTTATTTGAATTAATATATTCTTATATTTTATATGTAGGTATTAGTTGTCCTTATTTAACACCTCCGGAACATGGTCATATAACATATTCAAATAGCAATAAATTTGGTTCTCGTGCAACATATGAATGTGATATTGGCTTTGTACTTGAAGGTTCAAAATATCGTCATTGTCAAGGTGATATGTGGTGGGGACCATCAGATACAGTACCCTATTGTGCAAAAGAAGGTAATTTTTTTAATTGAATATTGAACTTGAAAAGATGTGACGAGACATTATGATTAATGAATGAGGTGTACATCAAAAGTCAAGTCAATGACCTTCTAATTATTCATATTGTCTCGATTGTTGAAATCTTATTTAGTCTTTTTTTTCCTTCTTCTTCTTCTCGCTTCTGTATATGTATACATATTAAAGTTCAAGAGGATTGCGTGCGTGCATAAGAGTATCAAGATAAGTACAAGACACTGTTGTCAACGTATTATATATACCTATGTTAAAGTCTAGACTTGTTATACAGTTGTTCAGTGAATTGGAGAAAAATTATGACATGATTAGGGGTGGCAACATACTGTGTAGTTGATATGATGAATTAATTGACTTCTTCTTTGTTCCAAATTAGTTTTTTGTAATCGACCACCTGATATAATCAATGCAGTTAATGATATTCCAAGTACAATTACATCATTTCATGCTGGTTATTCAGTTAAATATACTTGTTTAACTGGTTATGTTGGGTAAGAATTTCTAAAGGGATAAACTGAAAATAATTTATATTTCTAATTAATTCTAGAACTGGTACAACTACATCAGAGTGTACATTTCTAGGTCAATGGACATTTTCAACATTAAAGTGCAATCGTAAGTTTTTTTTTTATTAAACTATTATTATATTTTTTTTCATATAATTATAGCGATTGATTGTGGATCGCCAGGTATATTACGCGATGGATTTTTAAGTGGTGAACGATTTGATTATCCGAATATTATTGCATTTTTTTGTAATGATGGATTTCAACTTATTGGTAAAGATATAACAAGAGCATGTCAAGAAAATGGTTTATGGTCTGGTACAATGCCCATTTGTCAAAGTAAATTTTTTTAATTAATTTATTGCGTACTACTCGATAAAATTAATTATCATTGTCAAGTATCGAAATCTATCTCGAGATAGAAGAAGAAGACTACATATTTGTAGTATAAAAGATCAATTATTTTTAACTAAGTAAAGAAAAGGAATATTACAAAAGAAATTTGTTATTAATGATAATTACGGAATTGAGATAACGTTCAAAACGACTCGTATCTATCATCGATATCTCTCATAAATTACAATTAACATGACATGTGCAGAACAATAAGAAAAGATTAATCGTAGAATTATAGACTACTCTTTTTTTTCGTAGAAAAATCATGCAGTACACCTCCGATAGTTAGTTACAGTGAAATAATTCAACCTGATCGAACAACAAATGAAACAGTTCAATATATTTGTCAAGATGGATATCAATTACATGGTTCCTCTATGTTAAAATGTATTTCATCCGAATGGCAACCAACTCCACCAACATGTGAACGTTAGTTTTTCTTTTCTAATTTTTTTTTAACTCAATAATATTTTTAGCTACTACATGTAATGATCCTGAAACATATTTTAATGGTTTTATTGAATCATTATCAGTAAATGATTCATTAAAATATGCTGTTAATTCAATAATTACATTTCAATGTCCAACGAATATGACATTACGTGGTTCACGTATATCAAAATGTCAAATAAATGGAACTTGGTTACCAAAAATTCCTAAATGTGAAAGTTCGTTATTATTTTCTACGAAAAGTTCTTTTTTTGTAATTAGTTACTTTTTTTTGTTTTTAGAACCAATACCTTGTGCAATTCCAGGTTTACCACGAAATGCCCGATATGTTCATCTTCGTCCATTTATGCAAAAAATACCTGATGGAAGTCATTTAGAATATATGTGTGAAAATTCTCAACATCGTCAAAGAATTCTTTGTCGACGAGGAAAAATTCTACCAAAAAAACCACGGTGTTATACTGGTTAGAATTTAAAATTATAATTATTTACAACAATAAAAAAATAATCGAAATTTCATTTAGGTTGTCATGTTGATAATGAACATGTCAATTTTTCCAAAACATTTTATCGTCATAGAGAAAATGTTTATTATACATGTAAAAATAATAATAGTTTATCATTAAAAAATGAAACAATACGTTGTATTAATGGAAATCTTACCGATCAACCAATATGTCAATCAGGTAAATTTTATTTTGTTGGATAGATTGATGAATTCAGTGATAAAGATAACGACAGAAAAGAAATTTTTAATCATATTCTTATTTTTTTTTATTCAGTTAAATGTATTGTACCACATATGCTATTTTTACGTAATATTGTTAATACAACAATACCATCTGGTGCATTAATTGAACAAGATTCTTCATTTTCATATACATGTATAGATGGTTATCAACCAAGTATTGAATCAGCAATAGTTACATGTCTTAACGATAGTAAACTATCACATCATGCACAATGTGTACCAAGATCATGTAAAGAACACCCACCAGTAATAACAAATGGTCGAACTATATTTCATTCAACAAAACATGGATCTATAGCAAGATATCGTTGTTTTCCAGGTTTTAGAATTGAAAATAATCATGTAGCAAAATTAACATGTCAATTTGGACAATGGTTACCTCAACAACCACCAAGATGTTTACCAAGTAAGAAAAATTTAAGTTATAATTAAATTGAATTGTTAACTTCTATAATAAAAAAAAAGAAACCTATGGAGTTAACATTAGCTTTACATAACCTTCGACTTTAAATAAAATTTCATTTGGCAAGATAATAAAATTATATTTTAGTTTTCTGTCCTAATCCTGGTCCACTATTTAATGGTCGAATATATGTTATTCTAAAAGATGAACGTATATCACCAATACCAATGCGAACTGAATTTCGTTCTTATATACCAAATGTGAGTCATGATCGAACAATTGAATTTGAATGTAACTCAGGTAAATCTATGCTTTATTTCTATATATAGACATTATCTTTATTTTTGTATATTTAGGTTATATTCTTCATGGTCCATCGGGTTTAACATGTAATCATGGTCGATGGATGCCATCCGAACGACCACGTTGTATTATTGGTAAATTTAAATTTTTGAATAAAAATTTTTTATTTAATTTTATGAATATTTTAGAAAATCATGTTCAACCAAATATAATCTTTACGGGATAATGAATTCGTTTGAATGAATGTATTTTTTAGTCAAATGAAGCTGGTCTTCATGATATAAACAGCTTCTCAATATATAAATATATAAAGTGCTGATTTTTCCATCACGAAAAAAAAAAAAAAATAAATATTTGTTTTTCATGTGTGAATGATAATTTCTTTTGAAATTAATAATGATTTTTTTTTTCGTCTTTGTTTATTATGTTTAAAATTATTCAATAAAATATTGATTAGTCAGTTTAATACAGTTCAGATTACAAGGTCGAAAGTCATCAATAGATAATAACCCTATAAAATTTCAAGAACAAAGTCATATAAAACATTATATACTTCTTTTCGATGTTCTTATCGAACATTACAGACGTCATAAATGATCACTGTCCTCGATAGAATATTCTATCGATAAAGACTAACTTTTTCTTTATACTCTAATACAAAGGGAATATATAAGATATTGACATAGCTGTTTCTCGCAACCATCATCAAAAAACTATAACACCTTGAATATTTATTTATCATTAGAATAATATAACATAGAATGAAAGAGTAATAGAATGATTTTTATCGATAATATTCAAGTTTTGCGTGCATAATCATAACCAAAGTTATTTCGTCGTTTTATTGATTTTTTTTTCTGAAATAACAAATATTTTTGTTTATGACCCAATGACATCGAAAAGTTATTAGGCTGATGATCACACACTTCATTATGTTAATGAGAAAATATTTCAATTTCGATGACAAAGCATGACATTACTTGACTATCACGCGTTAACGTTTTGGTTTTGATGAAAAAAAACATAACTATTAAATACAAATGAAACAAAATATGGCAGAGAAAAATCTTAGAATGTGCATTGTAATGCAAATAATCTTTATCTTTTAAACTCACACACCTACAAGTGCATAGTCATTATAACAGTACATGAAAATAACCAGCTGACCATAGATAAGCACGTGAGGAAGCTTGTAAACTTAATAATACCGATCAAGTACAAAATATGAGTAAATACTCCTATTCTCTACTTTCAATATGATTATTCATAAATTTTATCATAAAAAACGTTGATATTTGATAATTAATTAGTTTAGTTTTATAGGCAAAATAATACTGAAATAAACAATAAATAAGATGACTTGAATCAATATTCAGCACATTTCACTTCTTATAGAATCTGTTCGAGATATTACATCATTCATTTTTTTCTTTCGATATATAGGCATGATATATTCATAGTTATCGGACGGTGCTGGATGGGTGTTCGAAGTTCGATCATATGACTACCGAGTGTCCAACGCGTGACTATTATAACATTAATATCACGTTAGGATATGGTATATCGAACAGAACAGGAGAAAGAAAAATAACAAGAAAAATACGCAAATCATTTTCATCTATCATCATCGTCGTCCGTTTGGCGTCGCATAACCATATATAAAGCTCCGAAAAAAGACGAAATAGTATATACACATCCACTATTCCAATTATTGGTTACAGCGCGTCGTAACATATTCATCAAAATGAATCCAACGTTCAACAATACAGCAGCTATGGATAAAGCTGTTCTCCGTCGATATTTGGACTTACCACAACCAGCAAACAAAGTAATGGCTACTTATATATGGATCGATGGTTCAGGTGAAAACGTTCGTGGTAAGATATTTTACTAATAATTTATCTAACAAATATACTATATTGTTTCTTTTATAATAGCTAAAACTCGAACACTTGATGAAGAACCAAAGTCACCAAAAGACTTACCTTGGTGGAATTTCGATGGTTCATCAACTGGTCAAGCTGAAGGTTCAAACTCAGATATCTATCTTAAACCAGTTGCCATCTACAAAGATCCATTTATGCT